AGCAGGTCCACAGGGGTTGCAGGCCCCGGAACTCACTCACGCGGTCCGCACAAAAATAAGTGCTCCCACGGTGAGTGCTGTGCGGACCGCACAAAAGCGTACACGGCCGCGGTAGGCATCGCGCGGACCGCACAAAAGTGGGCTCGGCTGCGGTGAAGAACCTTCCCGCTGGTCCTACTTTGGAAGCTCATATCTTTAGATCTACAAGGAATGTTGAGGTAATTCAAAAACGAAAGTTGTAGCTCTTCGTGTCTAGTTTCCCGAAAGGTAAAGATATCTCAATTTGGACATCTGTAGTGAAAGTTATGGTCGAATTACTAAAGCCTATCACTGCAGAGGAAGGCCTGTGCGGCCGCGGTTGTTTTTGCGCGGACCACACTGGCTAGCGCGGACCGCGGTCGATTTGATGCGGCCCCGGTGGCTGAAATCTGAGAGGTACTCTATAAATACGAGGTTTTGGGTTTTATTTAATATTTTGACCTAGAGAGCTCGAATTTTGGCGATTTTTCGAAGGTTTTTCAAGAAATTCATCGAGATTCGACGCACGTGGAGGCCGATTTGAGGGGCAAAGGCGTCGCGAGCTAGAGATTTTGCCGGTTAGAGGTGAGTAATGATTGTAAATGATACTCTGAGAGTTTGAAACCCCGGATTGCACATCGTAGTGCTATATTGAGGTGAGGCACACGCTTGACGACGAGCGTGGGGTCGTGTACTATTGGGGATTGTGACTTAGTCCGTCTCGATTGATGACTTTACCGCGTATTTAACTGAAAACTAATTGTTACCATCATTATTTGGGTTGAATGCCATCTTTGGGCCTAGTGCCAGCTATTTGAACCCTTCGGGGATTGTTGTTTGATAATTCCTCACTATTTGATTATATAGTTGAACTCAGTCATGTTATTTTCTACTGTTTTCAAAACTCAGTCATGTTTACTCTGCTTTAACACTTGAAATGGTATTTTAAATAATATTTTTGGGCTGAGCATCATGTTTTACTGTTGCCCGAGGGGCTTATGTGATTTTGACTGAGTAAGGCCGAGGGCCTGTATTGTGAGGATACTCTTGGATTGGGCTACACGCCGCAGCAGTGTTATACTGATATTGATATGAGCCCGAGGGCCTAGATTTGATACCACGAGATGGCTTGATATTGCCCTTGGGCCATAAGGGGCCCTCCTGGAGTCTGCACACCCACGGTGAGCACCATCGACGATAAATGGATCGGGCTGCATGCCGCAGCGATATATGGATCGGGCTGCACGCCGCAGCGGTGCTGGTACTGTTCTATGTGTTTACTTTATTTCATTTGTCTTCCATTATCTGTTGTTGTGCTACTTCATGTGATATCTATCTGATTGCCTGGCATTATCTGTTAATTGAGTGTTGCGCCCGAGAGGCGGATTTCCGTACTTATCTGCACTATTTGTTTTGCATTCATTTGCGTAACTGTTGATAAGGTCATTTTCAAAAGAGGTTTAAACTGAGCTAAGATATTTCTAAAGATTTCACAACTTCACTATTTTTCTCAAAGGGTTTTTCACTGCCTCTCTACAGCATGTTGGTTGCTTTACGTGATTTCTTACTGCTCAGTTGTTATTTACCTTTATTACTCATTGAGTTGGAGTACTCACTTTACTCCCTACACCTTGTGTGCAGATGCAGGTATTTAAACACCCAGTAGCGGGTTTCGAGCCGATCGGAGGCTAAGTTATCGGAGTTTAGCAAGGTGACCGCCAGCGTTCGCGGCACCGCATTTCTTCCTTTTGTTTATCAGTCCTATTTTGTATAATTCAGACCGTGTAGTTGTATTTATACTCTAATAGATGCTCGTGACTTGTGACACCCCGGTTTGGGCTGTGTTTGGGTTGTATTCCGCACTTAATAAAGAAATTTTTTGTTTAGACTATGGTTATTTAATTATGTTAAAACTGTTTATTAATGTTAACTATTCTGAAAAGGCGAAATGTGTTAGTTGGCTGGCCTTGTCTTCACGAGAGGCGCCATCACGACCGGATCGGGGTTTGGGTCGTGACAGCTTTTCAATTTGTTATGAGATTTGTCAAAGACTAGAAGATGCAAGGGACACAAAGCACACCTATTTATATGTGTCAACCACAATATACAGTGATGGGCCCAATGTGAAGTAATATCCAAAACTTTTAAAAACTTGATTATTAAAATTTCTAGACATTCTAACACTAATACCAACATTCTAACTTAAGCAAATAGAGATGAAAGGGTAGATGTCTGCATTCGTACAACGTGATCAGCCATCTTTTAATGAAAAATTTAAAAGAGAGAACCACCGCAAACAAATTTCATTGTGCACGCTAGTAACAGACATACGGGTAAATATCTAGTGAAGAAATGAAAGAACGAACCTTCTATTGCTGAAATTCTGGAGCAGATTCAATGAAAATAAAAGCTCTAGAACAGCAAATCCTTAAGCGAGCTACAGACTAGAAACCCGGACCGTAATCGGCAACCTGAACAGATTCAACTCGACTGGATTTGGGTGGTGATTTCGAGCTGATTTTCACACTGATTTGGTGTAGTTTTAGGGAGTTTTGGAGCTGGGCTTACCGATGGGTTCAAACTCTGTTTCGACGAATTCTATGGAAGGTCGCCGGAGCTACACGTTTTCGGTCAAACCCGGTTCCGTCTTATGTGCGTGTCCGACTATTTCTGGGCAGCAGAGAGTTGTGGAACAAGGAGCAGCGGCTACCTTAGTCTAAGAAGAAGTTGTTGGTTCTTTTTGCTTCAAATGAGAAGGAGCTTCATTGAAGAAGACAGACATGGGCGGGGGTCTAGGATACAGGGGTTTGCGGCGCCTTTTTAGCCTTTTTCCGGGCGTTATTTTTTGTTCCCCCTGCTCATTTCAGGCGTTAGTCTCTATATAGGTCTAGGTCTAAATGTGTATTTTTGTGCTAACTGCTCTTAGGTCCTTAGAGTCTTTTTATTTATTTTTTGGTCCAAAGAAGAGTCTAGAAGGGTCCCTAGGGTTAGCTTAATGGTTATTGGGCTTAAGAAATGGGCTAGAAACTTGGGCCTTTATGACTAGCTATGCTTAAAATTAATTTAATTAACTAAAAATATTATCAAAAATATTAATTAGCCCTATTTAAGTAAAAATAATTATTAAAATAACAAAGACTGACCGTTAAAGCAAAACTATTTTTTGTATTTTTTTCAAGGTTAAAAATGGCTATAAAATATTAATGAACCTATTTTTTGTAATTTTCGTTTTCTTGTAATAAAATAAAAGTAAAAGAGTAAAAATGAGTTGAAATAGCTATATTAGGTCTAAATTAAATATTTACGCTAAAATATGAAAAATCTTGAAGATGGTCAAAAATAACATGTCTACACATAACAATAGTTGCTTCTTATTATCATATAGTCCTGTTTCATATATTTCAATTTATTTTAAAAAAAGACAAACAGAAATCAGACTTCCATCCAAGTCTGGAGCTGAGAACTAGTCCGATGAAATACATAATTTCCCACGCCGCGCTTGCATTTTTCATAATAAATATTCAAAACTTTTCTTTCCAATATGCGCACTCCTTATTAGTTAATAATGTATTTAATTATGCTAGTAACTGAATTTCTATGCTTAGTATTGTAGGAAATAAGATATTCAAACAAACAATTTATAGTGGAGTCATTCATCTATTATATTTTTATACAGATAGGGGCAAGAAGACTATGTAGAAACGTGGCACTTTAATTCGATGTTGTTAAAAAAAGATTTCGAACACAAATATGAACTAAAAAAAATAGGAAAAATTTAATGAACAGTCTTGGTCCTATTAAAATGTTCTAAACGAATTCAGTCTTATGTAAAATACATTTTAGTTTTGAGTTATGATCTCCATAAGAGTAGAATAACTTTGAGATAATACAAAGAGATACTATTATTAGACAACATTTTGATCTTTGAATGCTGATCCACGGTATGTACCCATGAACAAAAAATAAAAGGGGGGAAAAGAGAGATCTTCGATCAACAGAAATGGATAAAATCACGGACTGGATGATGCACCAAGTAAGCAGAAATATAACTCGTCATACAGCAAAATCAGTAGTTTTAAAAGACAACTCTTCCATAATGTACAGGAAATAATGGACAACATTTAGGCCACTAACAACTTGGACAATTATCAGAATCCATTCTTACAAATTCCGCAACATATTTGAGATATCGAAATACGGAAATAGATGTAAAAGGGAAATAGGGTAGAGCAGAATATGGAAGGGGTTCAAAATCATCCGGAGAATAGAGTTACATGGTTACCTTCATATAAATAGTGGCTCTTTCACCAATTGAAGTTGTGGCAAAAAATTTTGGAGACATGAATAAGGAGATAGAACATAGGATCTAGCGGTGACAGCCTGAAATAAACTCGCTCCCGGATCAGAATGTCTCGCTTGTTCAACAGAACTAGCTAGATATGCTGCTTCAAAGCACAGAAGACATCTCAGGCATGATTTTCCTGCATGTGCCTTTTGTGGTCCCTCTCAGAATAATCAAGCCTCCCAGCCCCGTTTCTATCATCTGGAAAATCTTGGTAAGTTTGATTGTGGGTCCCTGTTATATACTCATCCCGCTTTCCCTCCAGTTTTTCTGAGGGGCTACTTGCCTTTCTCTTCCTACTGTTAGACTTTGGTGACCGATATACCTTGTCAGCATCATCATATGGTTCCAGTTCCCCTTCTTCAACATAGTCGTAATCTTCCCCACGTGAAGACTGCCGTTTTGACCCTTGGTGATGCCCGTCCCCAGCTTCATCTTGATGCTTTTCATGATATGTGTTCTCATGCTCCAGCCTGTTTGAAGGCTTGGTCCAGCTTTCTTTTCTTTCCCGTTTGATTTTCTCATTCCCAGCTGCCAGTTCTATTCCATCCTCCAATTCCCTCTCAATGAGATCATCGTCATCCATAACATCAGTTTTCCTGGTTACATCCCCTTGGGATTTTCTGCGTTTCTCCAATGCTGCCTTGACCTTGTTCTCAACAGCTGCTTTGACCTTGTCTTTATCTATCTTTTTAACTCCTTGCGGTGACTGGCCAAGTCTGCCATCCTTGTTCTCCAGGGCTCGACCATGGTACTTCTCCTTTGGTTCCCCTTTACGCCTTGTTTCAGCTTTCCCAGTGTTCTCTTCCTGATCATCTTCATCATGGCTTTCAGAACCATACTTTGATCTACTTTGTACCTCTGCTGCATTACCCTGATAAGCCAACTGCTCACTTTCAAGCTTCTGCCTATCACTAATCTCATCATCTCCAATACGATCTGAAGCATAATTTTCAGTACTTCCATAGTTATTAGTGCTAGTTTGAGCAGCTTCGGAGGGCCCACTGTGATTATCAGCATATGGTTGATCAGGAATTGCCCTAGAAGATGCACGATTGGAGGTTCCTGCATTTGAATTTGCAGCTCCACCCAGAGAATTACTGTTATTTGCAGCATGCTCTTCATTTGCAACTGAAGCTTTTCCTGCAGGCCTTTGATTTCCACCAGCACTTCCTTCTGCTTCACTAGCCTGAGAAGGTTGTACTCTATTTTGTTCATACAATTCTAGCATTTGGTTGCTCACCTCTGCAAGGGTAAAGAATGCAAAGTAAGATAGCGAAGAGCNACGTTTCCATGTACTGATGTGGTCACAGAATCCCTGAAAGTAAGCCAGACTGGGTTCATCCAATACCACAAATTTCACATAGTATACATATCCAAGGCAAGACACCAACCCTCCAGTTGGCGTGGGGTGACATCAA